TGTCAGCCGAGGCAATGTGTTAACACAGTAGAGTATGATGGGTGTTTTATGTGTCAGCCGAGGCAATGTGTAAACACAGTAGAGTATGATGGGTGTTTTATGTGTCAGCCGAGGCAATGTATAAACACAGTAGAGTATGATGGGTGTTTGATGTGTCAGCTGAGGCAATGTATAAACACAGTAGAGTATGATGGGTGTTTGATGTGTCAGCCGAGGCAATGTGTAAACACGGTAGAGTATGATGGGTGTTTTATGTGTCAGCCAAGGCAATGTGTAAACACAGTAGAGAATGATGGGTGTTTTATGTGTCAGCCGAGGCAATGTGTTAATACAGTAGAGTATGATGGGTGTTTTATGTGTCACCCGAGGCAATGTGTAAACAGAGTAGAGTATGTTGGGTGTTTTATGTGTCCGCCGAGGCAATGTGTATACACAGTAGAGTATGATGGGTGTTTCGTTTATCATGCGAGGGAACCTGTTACGACTAAACACAATAGAGTATAAATTAGTGTTTTATGTGTCAGCCGAGGCAATGTGTATACACAGTAGAGTATGATGGGTGTTTCGTTTATCATGCGAGGGATCCTGTTACGAGTAAACACAATAGAGTATAAATTAGGGTTTGATGTGTCAGCCAAAGCAATTATACACAATAGAGTATGATGGGTTTTTCATTTATCATGCTAGGGAATCTTTAACGTGTTTAAACACAGTGGGATAGAATGGGTGTTTCATTTATCATGCGAGTGAACCTGTAACATGTATAAACACAGTAGAGTATGATGGATGTTTTATGTGTCAGCCGAGGTAATGTGTATACACAGTAGAGTATGATGGGTGTTTCGTTTATCATGCGAGGGATCCTGTTACGAGTAAACACAATAGAGTATAAATTAGGGTTTGATGTGTCAGCCAAAGCAATTATACACAATAGAGTATGATGGGTTTTTCATTTATCATGCGAGGGAATCTTTAACGTGTTTAAACACAGTGGGGTAGAATGGGTGTTTCATTTATCATGCGAGGGAATATTTACCGTGTTTAAACAGTAGAGTAGAATGGGTGTTTTATTTATCATGCGAGGGAATATGTAACGTGTATAAACCCATAGAGTAGAATGGGTGTTTCATTTATCATACGAGGGAACCTGTAACGTGTATAAACACAGTAGAGTAGAATGGGTGTTTCATTTATCATGCGAGGGAATCTTTAACGTGTTTAAACACCGTGGGGTAGAATGGGTGTTTCATTTATCATGCGAGGGAATCTGTAACGTGTTTAAACACAGTGGAGTAGAATGGGTGTTTCATTTATCATACGAGGCAATGTGTAAACACCGTAGAGTATGATGGGTGTTTGATGTGTCAGCCAAGGCAGTGTGTAAATACAGTAGAGTATGATGGGTGTTTCTTTTATCATGCGAGGGAACCTGTACTGTGTAAACACAATAGAGTATAAATTAGTGTTTAATGTGTCAGCCAAGGCAATTATACACAATAGAGTATGATGGGTTTTTCATTTATCATGCGAGGGAATCTTTAACGTGTTTAAACACAGTGGGGTAGAGTGGGTGTTTCATTTATCATGCGAGGGAATCTTTAACGTGTTTAAACACCGTGGGGTAGAATGGGTGTTTCATTTATCATGCGGGGGAATATTTACCGTGTTTAAACAGTAGAGTAGAATGGGTGTTTCATTTATCATGCCAGGGAATATTTACCGTGTTTAAAAGTATGATGGGTGTTTTATGTGTCAGCCGAGGCAATGTGTATACACAGTATAGTATGATGGGTGTTTCGTTTACCATGCGAGGGAACCTGTTACGTGTAAACACAATAGAGTATAAATTAGTGTTTGATGTGTCAGCCAAGGCAATTATACACAATAGAGTATGATGGGTTTTTCATTTATCATGCGAGGGAATCTGTAACGTGTTTAAACACAGTGGAGGAGAATGGGTGTTTCATTTATCATGCGAGGGAATATTTACCGTGTTTAAACACAGTAGAGTAGAATGGGTGTTTTATTTATCATTCGAGGGAATATGTAACGTGTATAAACACAGTAGAGTAGAATGGGTGTTTCATTTATCATGCGATGGAATATGTAACAGGTATACACACAGTAGAGTAGAATGGGTGTTGCATTTATCATGCGAGGGAACCTGTAACGTGTATAAACACAGTAGAGTAGAATGGGTGTTTCATTTATCATGCGAGGGAATCTGTAACGTGTATAAACATAGTAGAGTAGAATGAGTGTTTCATTTATCATGCGAGGGAATATGTAACGTGTTTTAACACAGTAGAGTAGAATGGGTGTTTTATTTATCATGCCAGGGAATCTGTAACGTGTATAAACACAGTAGAGTAGAATGGGTGTTTTATTTATCATGCGAGGAAATCTGTAACGTGTTTAAACACAGTAGAGAGGAATGGGTGATTCATTTATCATGCGAGGGAACCTGTAACGTGTATAAACACAGTATAGTAGAATAAGTGTTTCATTTATCATGCGAGGAACCTGTTACGTGTATAAACACAGTAAGGTAGAATGGGTGTTTTTTTTATCATGCGAGGGAACATGTAACGTGTATAAACACAGTAGAGTAGAATGGGTGTTTCATTTATCATGCGAGGAAATATGTAACGTGTTTAAACACAGTAGAGTAGAATGCGTGTTTTATGTATCATGCGAGGGAACCTGTAATGTGTAAACACAATAGAGTATAAATCAGTGTTTGATGTGTCAGCCAAGACAATGTGTAAACACAGTAGAGTATGATGGTTGTTTGATGTCTCAGCCAAGGCAAGGTGTAAACACAGTATAGTAGAATGGGTGTTTTATTTATCATGCGAGGAAATCTATAACGTGTTTAAACACAGTAGAGTAGAATGGGTGTTCAATGTTTCAGGCGAGGGAACGTGTAATGGTATTCCGTGCAGTGAGAATGCAGAATGTATAAACTACCATTGTATCTGTAAAAAGACATTTTATGGAGATGGATACCACGCCTGTTACCGTAAGTATACTGTTCGTGTGTCTTTATAACTATAGACAAATATTTGAATATGGTTGTTGTGTTTTTGTTTCCTATTTTCCATCATATGCATAGCAATAATTTGTAAGTGGGAGAGTTGAAATGATGAAGGGTGTTTTTACAGACTTAACTTGATATACAACTCAATTATATTTCTCCATAAAATCCTTATGAAAGGAAATTCATTGTTCTTCAAAATGTATAGATTAAATTTGAATTAGATAAAACCACAGTTATACAATATATAAGTTATATAATTTTATATTGGCGATATCAATTAAATACATGGTAGTTTAGAAGTATCCACATACTTTTGTGTAGTAAATAATATTGACACACGCTGGACGCCTGGGCATTAAGATTAAAATCAAGCGCGTCTCGATACGCGCGAAAAGAACTGTTATAAGATATCCACTATTAATACAATGCGTACAGTTATCTGCGCCTGTGGTACATATTTGCGGTTATATCTTTCAAGATTTTTTTAGTTAAGACAAATCGAATACACCTACGTCACCATGTAGAACACCAGGTGCATAATCCACGTATCATACATTGATTTTGTATGTCACGTGCAACACCACTCGTAGAAGTTTATATAAGGTAGCCAGTAATATGATTAATTGTATTGTGGTCAAAAGCGAATCTTTAAAGAATTATAAAAAATATGTTGCTATCATTTTGTAATGCTTTGCAGTATATTTACGATGTCACATGAGTATGAACACATTGTATTCCACAGCTTACTGCTCCGGACGGAAATGTGGGGAGCATGCCACATGTTCTGACAACCAATGTGCCTGTGAGACGGGGTTCCAGGGTGATGCTTACATCAAATGCGAACGTAAGTACATGTCATTCCATCAGGATAATATAACGGCAACAGTATTTTATTTACATTTAAAACAAAATCTTTATATAATTTTTTTTTTTCTATTCTTTCCTTTCGAAAAAAAAATGTTTGTTTATCTTACTAAATTACGTTAAGCACATTCTTAATTTGTCTTAAGTACAGTTCCGATGCTAAATATAATAATTAAATTGCAAAATTAAGCGTTACAGTCGCTGAGCTTATTAATTATATCACGAAGCGTTTATCAAAATAAGCGTTGCGACATACCTTCCCGAATAAAGCGATATACAGTATTCCAATTTAAAAGTATTTCATGTATATGTGATTTGCTGTTGGAAATTTATTAAAAAGTAAGTCAAAACCAAAAAAGGAACAACTATTGAAAGAATCCAATCCGTTATTAATTTAAAGTTTCCAATAGCATTTCACAAGGTACAGTAGTTTCAACAAAGATTCAGACATATATGTAAATCTGCCACCTCTTATAAATATGCAAATAAGTAGGGGAAAACGGAGAATTAAAAAGAAAGAAGAAAGAAGGAGAAAGAAGGAAGCAAATAGAACGAAGAAACGAGAAGAAATAAATATAAATGCCTCTTGCATCCTGTTTAGGGTCACTGTTGTCTGGTTTAACTTTGGATAAAGTTACAGTATGTATGAATGTATAAATAGAAACGTTGTTTTTACGTTTTCAGCCTTCGGAATCTGTGACGGAATGCACTGTGCTGATTATGCGGAGTGTCTCAACTATAAATGTGTTTGTAAAAAGGGTTACATTGGTAATGGCTACGAGCGGTGTAAACGTGAGTAATTGACATGTGATGTTGATTCCTGTATATTCAAAATTTAACGCATATCACTAGCTTTATTGTATTTGTGTGTGTGTGTTCATATATATATACAGTTTTAAGCAGAAAGAAGATCATATTTACATGGATGTATCAATATCTATATTACTATAAATGTAAATATTAAAATATAAAAATATATAAAAAAAATCATTAAACATATAGACATACACACGTGAACAAATATACGCCTACAAATTTGATGAAGAATGTACGTTTGCACTTAAGCACTCTATAAGATGTTCAGATTATTATTTATTTACAATCAGCTCTATGTGGGGGCAAAGAATGTGTGCTGTACGCGCATTGTGAAGATGGCACGTGTAAATGTAATAGCAGTTACCATGGAAACGGTTATGTCATGTGCGAATGTAAGTAAATTTCATAGCGAAGACTGTTATAAAAGAAATGTAACACATACGTCTTGATGATCATAGTAGATGTTTGTATGTGGTTCTTCCATTCTTTTCTTTCCAATAAATATTTGCTCATCTTTCAGTAACGTGCTGTTGTATATAAGTTGTTTATTTTTATATTTTCACCCCTATTGTTTCATTGCAAAAGTAAAATACTATGATTTTATAAAGATATATTCAAATTCAAGCTATGTCTTTTTTTCCAATTCTATATAATCACAAAGCCAGATTATTTTTAGCAAAGAAACAGAAAGGTAGGAATCAACAAAAAGCCCACTTATCAAGTATGAAAGATATTGTTCGCAATACTGTAAAATTTGACATATTCATCCAGATGATATTAACGATAATGTTGAATCTTTCAAAAGCTCCACAAAAATGTGCATGCAAGAAATATTTGATTACAGCAATATTGCCAACGCGAAAGTTTGAAACGTCAAACCGCGATAACTATACGTATAACACTGTGAACGTATGTAAAACCTATCAAACGACTGTCGTTAGGTAGGTTTTATAGTGTTTCCTGATACAAAGTTAGACTCTATATTTCATAGCTAACACACAATGCGGTGGGAAGGAATGTTGTCAGAACGCTGTCTGTACTAACTACCTGTGTCACTGCCAGCTAGGGTATTTTGGGGACGGTTACAGCAGCTGTAAAGGTAACACATCATATGATATCCGCTCAGACATATCGCTCTGCAATAAACGGAAATAATCTATATAAAAGTCTCATTGTTCGTGTTTCTCTTTGTAACTAACTCATCAAGAAACTGATTAAGATGACAAATCGTTGGACGATATGGATGACAAAAATGATAAAACTAGTTAACCATATTGCTCAAATAACGTATTGATATATGTGTATATAAAACACTCATAGCAATACAAGATACATGTTCTGTTCATAGAATACCGTAAATAAATTAAAATGTTCACGATTGTGCATTAAAGGATTAACAAATACGGTAAATTCAAATGGCTAACAGTTCATCTCCTGATATTGTTGCTAATTCACAACAGCCCTATGTGGAGGAAGAAAGTGTGCTGAGTACGCGCGATGTCTTGACGGGAGCTGTGTATGCGACCCGGGCTACCACGGAGATGCTCTCATCAAGTGTGAACGTAAGCTTTGAATAACGAAATGTTTACAAACATAACACATATACAAATATTTGCCCACTGTTATATTTTTCCTTCACTTGTTATATTGTTTTTCTTTCTTTTCAATGCATAGTGTTCGACACTAATATGCTTATGTTGTTTAATTGGTGTCCGGTTTTTTCTGATTTCAAAATAAAACAAAACGTTTAAGCATTTTATATCAATTTGATTACAAATATGTAACATGTTCATTTAAATTGTAACAAATTATGGAATCCTTTTTCAGTTTTGCTTTTTATCTTCTTTTCTCGTATTTCTTATTGTCTATATTGCACACTGCTTTAAAACGTGTGATATTGGTTTTAACTATCCTGACTGCGTTTGTTTCCGTAACCAAACTTTTATTTTACAGCTAAATATTTTTGTGGAGGACGCCAATGTGCAGACAATACAAGATGTGTTAATTATAAATGCCTGTGTTTGGATGGCTATACCGGGGACGCATACGAACAGTGTGATGGTAAAGTGTTATTTGTTTGACGTTTCAACATGAACGGTTTTGAAAATTCCGGTAATCTGGTTCCATGATATATTATAGTTGCGTTCATTGGTTCAGATCAAGATTTAGGGTGGTTTTCGGATGATTTGTAAAAAAAAATATCCTAAAATGTCTAGATGCGTCCTTACTTCGTTCTTATTGTGATTATTTTACGTAACAAGATGGTTGACTCTAGATCTGCCTGTGAACAATTAGCCCCAAAGTTGACAGTAACCTTGTGAGGTGGCTGAAATGTATGCCTGTAATGTTTACATGATATACTAGTTTAAGAATAAATGATACATTGTAGCCAGAGGTTGTGACGTAATAAAGATTTTTAATAGGTAACGTTCACTTTTACTGTATATCTACATAACGTTTCGGAACCCTTGTCTTGCGTTTGACCTTCGTGCCACTGCTGCGACCTAAACGGATATTGTGCAGTAAATGTCAACAAAATAAGTTCTTAAGTTCGTTCTTCCTTTGAATTTACTGTACAGTCTTTTGTAATATTTGTGACAGGGAACTGTATATTGTTATTATGTCATGTCTATTTCAACTTTTACAGTTAATAGCTTAATCAACATTGCATGTTGCAATTCACTTTTCCACGATGTTTTTGTGGGTATTTTTTAATAGTCAATAGTAAAATCCAAAGTTTTTGATAATGAATCAATTAACCACTTGAGTATACATGTATAACTTTTGATTAATATCAATAAATCATATAAGTTTTTTTTCAATTAATCAAGACGATTAAATTTATATAATTAAAGCAAGAATTAGTAATAGCGTAATAGTAGAAATATCACATAGATAAGAAATCATTACGTCTTTATTAACATTCCAGGTTAATTCATTTCTGGATAGTTTTTACCTTTACATATCGAAGAAAAACAAAATTCTAGTTAGGTACAGGTTGCAGTTTAATTTATCGCTTGTGTTCAATACTATATATATTATATTCAAAAATAAATGTATAAATAAAATCTAAAGTGTCTATTTGGTTTCAACAAATTTTATTGTGTTAACAAAAGGATTAGACAACAGACAGTGCCTATATAAGTCTTCTCCTGTAAGTGTATGTTTTCAAGGTAATTGTTTTCAAAAAATAAATATATAAATAAAATCTAAAGTATCTATGTTTTCAAAGTAGCTGTTTTCATATCAAATGCAAATCTTTCTCCCCATCCAAAACAAATGGGATTTTCCTGATATAAGTACACACTGTTCTGTGATATCATGTGAGTAATATTAACATTTTATTTATTAACAAGTAAATAAGTCGAACTTTGATATCTCGAACTTAGTGTCCCATATGTATCCATTAATTACAGACTTGATTATCTCGACGATTTTACATTAATATACACAGATTAATCTGTATATTGTAATTTGTAACTGATTTACTTTACCCTTTAATTTGCAGCACTGTGTGATGGCAGGAAATGTGCCGACTATGCGTATTGTGAAAATACAAAATGTGTTTGCCAGCCGGCGTATCATGGAGACGGATTCATCAAGTGTGAACGTAAGTACATCACAATACTAGAGTTGCTCCGCTTGATAATATGCAAATTACTTTATACCTGTGACACGGCAACAGATAAGTTATTGGTATATATACATTTATCGTGTTTATTTACAGTGTAGGTCCGGAGGGCATGGATTATCACATCTCATCAACTCTATACACCATCCCACTATACGACTTGCATTTTGTTAAATTAACGTTATAAGGGTATTTATTTTCTACAAACACACTACCAACACAAAATATATTGATCGTTGTGTGTGTGTTGTGTGTGTGTGTGTGTGTTTGTGCATCCTGCTTACTATTGATGTTATCTGTAGCTTTATTTCACCTTTGTATTGACCACAACCTTATCAATATTCAAATTAGTCATGGACACATTCACATGTATATTGTGACTCACAGGCAATATCATACAATCAGAATTTTGATAAACCAAATAGGAAGTGATACTACGATAAAACATAGTTATCCCCCTTCAATAGTGTCCGTGTGTGTATTATACTTGCGGTAGTGAAGCGTATGAAGCTTTGTCAACTTAATTACGAGATTGTATGGGTATGCATGTATCATTTCAGTTTATGATTAATAACCCAATTTGTTTAACCTGTTAACTTTGACACCATCAGAGTACTTCTCGAAATGGTGTATGATAATCAATTAATATCCGCAATTTATTCCTTAAAAACCATTTTAAAACTCTTTTTGAAAAGACACCGTGTAAAAGTGTGACGAGACACACAACATGAGTTGTCTCGCCTGATAGTATGCAAATCTAGTTGCACCTCTACAATGGCAGAAGCTACACATAAGGTATAAATACAAATATCACATCCATCAGTACTAACAGGTCCGGAGGGTTTGGATTAACCATTTGCTACGCGCAAAGACCCCAACTCTATAAAGCATCCCACCACATGACCTGTTTTGCCGAATCTTTAAAAAGATCGAAATTAGATCAAATTAAAACAGACTAAAGGTATAAATATTAACTATAATTCTGCTTCAATTATTGCTAATTGTAAATACACGAGGTCGAGTCGACCGTATTCGATATGATTTACTCACTTTAACAGGATAAACCATGTTTTAACAAACCTATGACAATATATCTGTTCTTGTGAGTTTGCACAAATTTCTATGTGGATCCGAGTGCATATAGTATGAAATGTTACATGATTTTATATACGGCGTCAAGAATTCGACAGTGTTTCATCTTATATCAACACACAACATTAACCGCATAATTCAAGTTGTCTTCACTAACGGATGGACTTCAACAATGGGTGTGCAGACAAAAACATTATTTTACTTTCCTATACCAAATCCATTTTGTTTAAAGTTATCAGAAAAAATATTGTAAACTTTTATGTTATCTTAATATCCTGCCAACGCTAATAACCAAATTAATAATTACAATGTATTATCCAGATGAATGTATCAAAGCACGGTTTTCAATTTCATTGATGGACTTTTGGTTAAGGAAAATACATGGTTATATGGACCTGAGAAAGAGATATTAAGTCGAGGTCAATACCACGTTTAGGTCCATGTTGCACATATTTACCGAAATAAATGTCATTAACTGTTATACAAGTCTGAAATTATCATGCTTTTATCATTAAACAAGACGCACGGCGCATAAGCAAATCGCCAAGAGAAAAGTGCTGCATTCGGCTAAATTTGACGTTTCAAATGAAGTGACGTCACGCTTTGAGTTAGTAATTAATAATATTTGATAAAAAAAAATTGGTTCATAAAAAAAAAAATCATACATTTTACCAATATTTAGATTAGGGTTATTCAAATCTTACAATATGTATCTCAGAATGATATCATTTGTAAAATTTGTAAATTCACAACCACGTCTTGTTAAAAGCTTAAATCGAAGTGATCACACACTCATTTAAACCTTTCCATTCTTGATCGGGATAAAAAGTTAGGCAAACGCGTTATTTTTGCTTAGACTATGAAGAAATACTAGTAAAAAGGTAATCACAGAGTTGCCGCCCTTTAAAACCGAGTAGAATATGCAAATGTATTGAAACCGCGATTACAGTCGCGGTGTAGTTACCGTGTATATATAGCAGTGTTAAATCCTGTGTGTGTATGGTAGGTCCGGAGGGTTTGGTTATCACACCGCAATGGTTCAATCTAACTCTATATCCCAATCCCACCATACGACCTACCCTTTTGTTACTTATCCCGAGTCGACCTACGACCAACTACTATTGTGTTACTTATCCCGAGTCGACCTACGACCAACTACTCTTGTGTTACTAATCCCGAGTCGATCTACGACCATGCCCATAAAGATTTTTTCTTCACATGTCACATATTGTACAACTGAAGATATATATATTAAAAGTGTAGTACAGTATAAATGCTGTGACGCCCGTTTATATGTGACACTCTTTTCTATGGAAACCTTATTTGTCTTCAAAAAACCCCTGGTAAAGGCTGTTTGCCAATCTTTTATTGATAACAATGTTAATGCTGCTTTTAAAACTGTCAGAAAAATCTACAAATATCTAGAATAATCGCAACACGACGTTTCCATGGGATGTTTGATAACAAAGTACAAAACTAACAACAGCCGAACAATTCATGCAAGAGTTCACCTGTACACTGTTAAAATAGGGTTAGATGCACTGACTCTGGGGACGTGGACTCAGCCTTGTTAGCTTTATAATGAGTCGTGATTGCTGTTTAAAATTCACAAACATTACACAAAATATTTTTTTATGATCCGGACCAGAATTGATCCTCTTATAAGCTGCCTGGTGTCGTTGTGACTGAATGCGAAGTCTCCGAAAACATCTTCTCTGAAACTTACTGCGCATGTTTGCTTATATTTGATGAGATAAGTCTGAAATAAAAGAAATAAAATGTATACTTAAGGAATGATTTTTATTTTTTCAACATTTATGAGGTCATAACAACAATGGGTTTATGGACATATTGAATGAATCGCGTTAGCGATTCATGAAAAATATGTCCAAAAACCCATTGTTGTTATGACCTCATAAATGTTGAAAAAATAAATATCATTCCTTATATTTACATTGACGAATCCTTTCAGTGGATCGATATAACAACGAATTAAAAAAATAAACAGGGTTTGTTCCTGCTTATACACGGGTGCAATGCAGTGGCGAGAACAGTGTTTTTTCGCGGGGAAATGTGACACTATCGTGAGAGATCTTAGCAACCGTCAACAACAATAACACAACAAAATGTAGTTCCATATTCAATGTTTATTTGTAGCACAGGACACGTGAATACGTGGATATTTCACAAAGCACAGTTCAATAATATTTTAAGATGTAAGAATTAAGCATCTAGGTCGGTCGTTCCGAGTGAGTAGTTTTTGTAGTGTATTACTACGCAGTGTGATCAGGTTACTATCAGTTTCCACGTGCTGAGATTCTATGAACACCTGTGTTATGCATTTATGAATGTAATTTTTGTCAATGGGTCTAAGCATACAGAATGTAAATATTCAAGAATATTCAGATAGATATTTCCTGAAAATGTCTGGTTAATTTTACAACCTTTCCAGTAAATGATCGATAGATGATGATTTCGTCCACAGTTTTGGGTGTTTGTGGAGGGAAACACTGTGCTAAGAACGCCGAGTGTACAGGATACCACTGTATATGTCCTCATGACTACATTGGAAATGGATACCTTTACTGTGAAAGTAAGAAGACCGTACAACTTAACGACCGTAACCGTCCCTCACTGATCCTGTGAATGCCTAAATCATCCAAAACATCCAGGCAAATTTAACAACCCCCAAACGAAATATGATATTGTGATGTCGTGGATTGTTCAAAGAAATTTGACAGATATTTTACTACGTACTGATAATGTCTTCATTCAAAAGGAAAAGGCAATTTTCATTACAACATATTGAATGATGCACTTCTTGTGATTTTAACAATACAATCAAAAACAATAAAACATTATTTGACATGTAGTTTTCTACGTACTGATCATGTATGTCTTCATTCAAAAGGAATTAAAACATTATATTGAATAAAGCATCTTGGTCTTTTGAACAATAAAATAAAACGAAGTAGATCAATAAATAATCAAATTTCATAAATGTTACGTTCTCGATCAGTTGTTTCAATAACTCCTACCTCAGTACTATTTTTACTGACACTATTGATAATTAAATGGAAATATATATATTAATAGAATTATGCAACGGGAGGAAATGTGCTCTGTATGCAGAATGTACGAATACAGGCTGTCAATGCCAACCTGGTTACCATGGAAATCCGTATCTTAAATGTGAAGGTAAGCATACGGAAATCCTTATTAATCTGATCAATGTGAATGCAACATATATATATTAATTAATACAATTGTTTTCATGTGTACTGGTTGTTGCGAACTATGCCCGTACGTAATGTTCGCTGATAACTGAAGTATACCATCGCGACGTTCAGTATTGATCGTTAGAGATCAGGGATTAAAGATAACAGAAACTTTGAATTCGCGAAGGGTCTCGTCGCGAATAAACGTGAAATTATTCTATCACAAAAACAATGTAATCTACAAAAACGTGTTGGTTATACTTAAACTAGCTTTGTAAATTGATGTGGGCGATGTTTGGTGACGTAAATCATGCATGTTTTGTTGTTTCTTAAAGTGATCAGTTTTTTGTTGTTTCAGTGATAAGTCTATGTGGTGGTAAAACATGCGCAGAGAACGCCCAATGTTCAAACTACGCGTGCCAATGTAAGCCAGGGTTCATTGGAGACGGCATCGTAAAATGTCAAGGTGAAGTAATAAAATCCATAATATCTCACAATAGGTGTAAAGGTCTAGTTAAGGTTATATAATATAAAGGTTTAGTTAAGTCTAGTTAAGGTTATATAATATAAAGATTTAGTTAAGTCTAGTTAAGGTTATATAATATAAAGGTTTAGTTAAGTCTAGTTAAGGTTATATAATATAAAGATTTAGTTAAGTCTAGTTAAGGTTATATAATATAAAGGTTTAGTTAAGTCTAGTTAAGGTTATATAATATAAAGATTTAGTTAAGTCTAGTTAAGGTTATATAATATAAAGGTTTAGTTAAGTCTAGTTAAGGTTATATAATATAAAGATTAAGTTACGTCTAGTTAAGGTTATATAATATAAAGGTTTAGTTAAGTCTAGTTAAGGTTATTTAATATAAAGGTTTAGTTAAGTCTAGTTAAGGTTATATAATATAAAGATTTAGTTAAGTCTAGTTAAGGTTATATAATATATAAAGGTTTAGTTAAGTCTAGTTAAGGTTATATATTATAAAGGTTTAGTTAAGTCTAGTTAAGGTTAAATGATATAAAGATTTAGTTAAGTCTAGTTAAGGTTATATAATATAAAGATTTAGTTACGTCTAGTTAAGGTTATATAATATAAAGGTTTAGTTAAGTCTAGTTAAGGTTAAATGATATAAAGGTTTAGTTAAGTTTAGTTAAGTTAAGTTATACTATAAAGAAACGTTGAAGAAATATGATACATACAGTAAAATTTTCGCAATATTTTAATATGATTTGTGCGTTGTTTTATGAGTAATATTGCTTCTGATATCACCATTTCCCTCTCTCCTAACACGCTTCTTCGTAAACAACAAACGGCAAAATGGCGTTGATAACTTCTGATCTCTAAATGATATGCAATTTAAAAATGTTTGGATTAATTTACTAAAATAAAACAATTATGACAAATATAAAAAAAATGCTGCGTTTGCATCTCTAAAAATATTAGTATAACACTTCCGTCATTAATCATCAAATATGTAGAGGAAGAAAACTGAATTAATGTTATGTATCTCCTATTCAATCTAACTATAAGCGTGTATATGGGCCTTTTTTCAGAAACATGCAATGGGAGGTTATGCGTTCCGTTTGCAGAATGTAAAAACGGTAATTGTGAGTGCCAGGAAAATTATCATGGATTCGGTTTCTGGAAGTGTGAACGTAAGTAAAAGGCCTTTAAATTCAAATACTCAGCAATTCAACGATAAGCAATGATACAGACCGTTTTCAATTTGTTAAAAGATACACGTAATTGACATCTCCTCCTCCAACTCAATCTCTGCTCGATTCGATATACCTATAGCAAAACTTATATTTATTATGCAATATGTTACAAAAGAATAAAAAAATGTCTAAAGTAATCTGCATAATTGAGATGTAAAGGATGTTGATTCTCGATTTCAGCACACGGTATTTGTAACGGCCAGAAGTGTGCTACTCATGCTAAATGTATTAATTTCCAATGTATATGTGAGGCTGGACATTTCGGGGATGGTTACAACTCCTGCAAACGTAAGTACGGCAAATAACATTCAAGGAATAAAGTATGATCTTTAGCTGACGATCAAAGTAGTATGTGATAATTTACTTTTTACCGATTTTCTACTACGAACAAGAAAGAATAAAATATCTACAGTACATATTCAAAATGTTTATAATTCCAGGGTATCGTGATACCGTAAATACTGAAATATATATAAATAACTACAGTTGAAAACAAGGCTATATATCTATCTTTTGAAATTATATAGTATTAACGGTGTATTCCTTTCCTTTAAAGAGATGACCTAAAAATAGATATTATTTGAGGGTTTTTTATTCAATGTGTGTGTATATACATTTATATTTATTCTCCAGCATTCTGTGGTGGAGGTGTTTGTACTGAACACGCTCAGTGTTCAAACGGAACATGTGTCTGTCACACCGGTTATCATGGAAACGGCTACCTCAAGTGTGAACGTGAGTTGTGACGATTTAGTAATAACAAAGAGGAATAACTAATATATTTAAATATCGAGCTTACCATTAAAACTGGGTAATAGATACAGTGTGAATTAAATACATTGGACCACACAGCTGTAAGGTCAACTTACATGAGAACACCGGCCATGGCTGTTTTTGTGTTATGATTAGTCTACATCAGTTTATATCAGTATCTCTCACAAAGGAACACATCTTCATTTATCAATTTTTGTTCCAATTATATTTTTTTAATTTTCGATAATTTTAATCTCTAATGTTCAACATTTCCTGCTTGCTGCTGCTGCTGCTGCTGCTGATGATGATGATGATGGCAGCACTGGGTATCTGCGGAGGCCGTGAGTGTGCTAAATATGCCGTCTGTGAAAATTTCAAGTGTGTCTGCAGACCAGGCTACTTCGGGGACGGATATACCTACTGCGATCGTAAGAAACAATTCATTGACGAAATTAATATACTTCGTTTCATGTATTACATCTATGATTGTTTGATAAGTAATAATTTGTTCATAAATTTTCAATATTTTTCAATATGCAGCTGCTGAAAATAGTGGTGGAAGAAAGTGTTGGTAAATAGTTCAGTGTATAAGTGTTTTAACAAGTAATTTACTACAGGTATTTCCGAATGGAAGTTAAAGGTGTCCCATATCTCATTTGTGTATCGATACAAAAGATCATTGCTGCAAGTTATGCATTCTAATGAAGTCACGCTGTTTACAGCGTTGGCAGGTTATCCGTAACAGCTGACATGTCGACTGTATTTTGTATTTATCAACACTCGTGTTCGTTGTCTTATGTTTAACATGATATGATAATCTTAAATATCATAAATTAATGCTTAACATGACATAGTTTAGCCGGTATCGCTCGAAATAAGATTAGTTTACCAATAAACTTCTAATTTCACTTTATTGCCGTATTGATCGTGGTCTAGTAGATTTCTATGTTTTTATTATTCTCTATGACGCCTGCCAATGCTTAAAGCATTGAAGTTTTACATAGGAACATTAACACTTGCTCCATAGATCGCCCCGAGAGCAACCTGTTATCAACATGTATAAAACATATACGAATGTAACCGTATTGAAGTATACGCGCCGTACTGGGCATAACGTTACGCTGAATACAAGCTCTTACCAAAAATGCAAAAGAATATCACCACTTTTCGGCAGTTCTCAAGTATGCTAAAATGTGTGTATCCTATGAAATTTCGTGAAAAATATCGGTAACGGAGTGAACTAGGCATGCTTTATCGCGGACGTTTTAATGTTGTCACACGTGACGGTCATATGACATATTAGGTACGTACGCACTGGTGCAAATAGACAGAAATAATGGAAATTCATAACTATTAACATTTTGTTTGATTTTGGTGTATTATAATGTTTAGGAGCAACATTAACATGCTTGCGTTACCTAATTAGTTTCAGATCAAAAGTGAGAAGTGTCAGTTTTACCAAACCGAGCAATATATAAAACGACCATGTCATGGAAATAATTTGTTTCAATACTTACAATTGTATCCGTATACTCTATTTTCTCACCAGCCTGATGGACATTATGCGATGTGTCTATTTCAGTGGACGGGTACTGTCGGGGGAACAAGTGTGCTGACAACGCCGAGTGTATCAACAACCTTTGTGTTTGTCGGGGTGGCTACGTAGGTGACGGAGAAGTGGCCTGTAAAAGTAAGCAGAAGAAAAATGTAAAATATTTGGAAAACTTTATTTAATGTCTTTGTTTAGTTATATCTGGATAAATACTACATTTATTTACAAGAATACTAAAATTTATTCTCTTACGGAACTTTTGAGAATGGACAATGGCTCCAACGCATGACTAGATTTCAGTGTCATGTAGAGAAATGCTTTAGCACGGTATTCTTTAGACATAAACTCTAAACATTCCGCATATCTTTTGATATTTTGCTTATGATTAAATGATTAAAATTCTAGCATTTGTGGTTCATGTAACAGTCCGATACACCGTTCGTTACTCTGGTTTTCCAAAAGTAAATTGCATGTATGCAGTGGATTAAAGAAGCTCAACTATATCATACCTTGTTTCCCTTGACAGGGAAGTGTGTTTGCTCAGCCTCCGGAGATCCGCACTACTCCCGTTACGACGGTAAAACGCTCAACTTCCAAGGCATATGTAAATACACATTGACAAAGCTTAAAAAGACAATAGGCGGGTGCTATTTCAACATAGAGGTCAAAAACGAACATCGGGGCAAGAGCACCCGTGTGTCGTGGACGAGACTGGTGGACATCAGGATCAACGAAGTTAATATCAGGCTACTCAGGAGGAAGAAGGTGTTGGTAAGATTGGCGGCCAAGTTAATCAAATAGATCGTGATTAGGTGGTCTAAAGTCACACGATAGCAATTTAGATGGTTTCTAGTTTGAACCACTTTGTGGTAATATAAGACTCTTTCATGCCCAGGGGTGTAGGATAGAGAAATTTCACCCAAACGGTTTTTAAATTGGGTCCAACCGGTGGATTTGATAAATTCGGAAACAAATCCAAGGAAGAAGTTTGCCTATCTCGCACACCAAGGCATGAAAGAATATTTTTCTCGCATTCCATTCACAAGAATTATCCAAGAAACCACAAAAAGGCGTCGAAATTCCCGCTTCAATGGAGTATTCCCCATTTCGTGATATCACGTTATTGTTGACCCATTGTGACGTCATACACCTTGAATTCGATGTAGGATAGAGATTTCGTACACCACTTACTTACTGTGGACAAGACTGTCATATACACATGCATGAGAGAAAATGCTTATCATGTTAGCGATAATATTTTCCCCGTTTTTTCAAACAATACAGCAGCAATGCACATTAAATAAAATATAATTTACATGTATCTTGTTTCTTTATGACAAATATTAACTTTAATTTTTGATATAATTGACAATGTTCAATGCAATGAATTGATGGCTCCTTGATTTTAGTTAAATACAATCGAATGTGTAGTTATGGAATTTATTATTAGGTAAACAGCTACCTGCATCATCTACCCGTTATGGAAAATGGCTATCAGATCTATCGGAGCGGTATTTGGGTAGTTGTGACCTCGCGTTGCGGGGTAACGGTGTGGTGGAATGGCAAGGCAGCTGTCATGGTGGAGGTAAAAGTCGACTACGGACAACATCTCACCGGTATCTGTGGCAACTGTAACGGCCTGGATGACGATGACCGGAAGCGGGACGGAGAAGACGTAACAGGCTACCCGAAACGTAAGCGGGGCGCTATCATTGGTCACAGTTACATAGTGGAGGATGACACTGAACCGGAAGGAGGTGTTGCGGAAGAGTAAGTCTAGTTTTTGTCGTTATGGGTATGATCCTATATCCTCAGTGTGGTTTGGTTCAGATGGAGTTCAACTTGCGTTAAGCCAGGGTTGATGTTGAGGTTTATTTTACCTGTTTTAAGTGATAACGTGCTTTAGCGCTTTGTTCTCATCCTCGAAATTTCAAGTGTGCGCTCACTTTCGTCCTCTAAAACCCTGAAATATGTCACGACAAAATCGAAAGTTCAATGTGCTCCACCTTGTGGATGATGCAAGAAGACTTGTTTGATCCTTTCATGTACATCAAAAACATCCCGCGGCAGCGCAACAGTAATATTGAATGGCCTTGAAGTCGTGTGTTGTTCCTCTAATCTTCAAAGGACATGTATAAGGTACCTGAAGCCAATCGACTGTGTGCAGAGAACGAAGGTGAGCGTAGACCATGGAATGTCGATGATGTTTTGTTCTGTACATCTCATTCTGAATCTATAACATTACTACCAGTTTCATTTCAAAACGTATTTGTTGTCGTTTTAATAACTTAAAACAATCAGTTCCAATAAAACTTATCCTTAAGTCCAATGAACACAATATGTTTAACGTACATGTCTGTAGATGCAAGACAGAAGAGGTTGAGACACCCGAGTGTTCCGAGGAACACGTGGAGGCAGCCAAGGCAGTAGAGCTATGTGGTCTACTGGACTACAGCGTTAGTGACAGTCCATTCCGCCAGTGTATCAAGCAAAACCCAATCCTGGCAGACGTCAAGCTTAAGGCCTGTATTTTCGACGTCTGCGCTAATTATGGCGACAGCTCTGTGGATGTACAGTCTATAGGGTGTGGCTACTATGAGGAGTTCGATGAAGAGTGCTCTCTTAGAGGATTCCACGTGAAGTGGCGGACCACTGATATATGTCGTATGTATGATATGTTGGAGTTAAAAATATTTTTTTCTGATTGTTTGATTATCAATTTTATCGACCAATTTGCATTTCAACAAACCTGAATATATCAAAAGGTTTAATTTGTCCGTACACGCCTTTCTAGAGAAAAAGATTATATAGACAAAACGTGAACTGTTTATTACATTGGTAGTTGAGTAACTCGTGCTTGTTACTTTTGAGGTAAGTTATGGTCACTTGAAATGTATACCTACTTCAAGCACAAATGTTTTTTGAGATTTCTTTGAAATGTGTTTTTACGATTTTACGATATATATATTATTTTCCAACATCAGATTTACTTTAACATAATTTTAGCTATTCTTTAAACCTAACAATATGTATCATTATAACGTTTGTGTCACGGTTGACCTATGTTGCTGTCGTAGCCCTGCGATGCCCAATCAACATGCGATATAACCCGTCCGTGAGTGGCTGTCCAGCATCGTGTGTCAACCCTAACCCCTCGTGTAACCTACCCACTACGGACGGATGTGAATGCTTGCCGGGCCTGCTCGAGAGTGGCGACAAGTGCGTGAAGAAAGAGGAGTGTGGCTGTCAGTGCGGGGACCTACCCTATGTCCCGGTAAACTTATACACTACTTTAAGTGATGTTTAAAATGCAAAGTCGTCAATGTGACGTCACACTTTATTTAAGGAATATCTACTACCATTAGTGTTAATGCGAGAGGTAATACATGGGTATATTCATTACAAAGCATGGTAATCAAGTGATATATATAGATCGATCATCTATAAATGTATTCAATTATTTTCTCATTATGAAGATTTATTGTTACATTTCAGCTTTGTAGCATTCTTACGCTAATTGTAAAATTCCGGTTTGTGTACAATGTACAAATATGTAGATCTTTTAAGAGACATTTTCCTGAAAACGACTCCACATTAGGTCAATGTGGTTTTCTGAAGTATTCAGCAAATGTTTTTTTAATAAAGTGGTATGCGAATTTAACAGCAAATTTTAATGAAAGATTTATACGTGTTTTGCAGGTTGGAGAGCAATATGTGACAGAAGATTGCGCAGAGGTAACAGAATGTCGACTGGTCTACGGCAAGCCAGTGATGAGGGGTGTGCAAATTAATATAGAATGTGGAACGAACGCATTGTGTGCCCTTAAGGAGGGCGTGCCCACATGCACGTGCAATGCTGGATACACACGGGAAGGAAACAGCACCTGTGTTCCCATACAACATTATTAATACGTATATCATGCGTTTATTAAAGAGTTTACTAGATTTTGGTAGGCATTGCTCCGTGTTATCATTTCTATCGTAATAAAAATGATCATTAAAGGGGGATCAACACCACTTTGCTTACTAAGAAAAGTTTGAGTAAGAAGAAAAGGATAGACTAAGACGAGTAAAATAGAAGGTTTCATTTTAGACGGACGTTTCAATATCTGAATTCCTGCTGAAAGTGCGTTGTACGAATTCCCTGGTCCATTAATTTGAATTAGCATTAAAGAAAGAAACGTAAGACTACGTCAGAATGCATTGTAGGCACGTTAATGGAGTTCATCCAAACCAAAGATGGTGAAGCTTGAACGATGCTTAGGCGATAGCTGTACATGGAATGGACATTTCAAGTGCACTGCTAAGTTCGACCAACGACGTGCTTATGATTCAGGCATCAAGGGCCTGCACGCTATCTGAAACAACCTCTTTATCAATTCAGGCACAAGAACAAGACCTGCACGCTATCTGAACCAACCTCTTTATCAATTCAGGCACCAAGGATAAGACCTGCACGCTATCTGAACCAACCTCTTCATCAAATCACGCAACAACGACAAGAACTGCCCGCTATCTGAACCAACCGCTTTATCAAATCAGGCATCAAGGATAAGACCTGCACGCTATCTGAAACAACCTCGTTATCAATTCAGGCACCAAGACCAAGACCTGCACGCTATCTGAAACAACCTCGTTATCAATTCAGGCACCTAGAACAAGCCCTGCACGCTATCTGAAACAACCTCTTAATCAATTCAGGCACAAGAACAAGACCTGCACGCTATCTGAACGAACCTCTTTATCAAATAAGGCATCAAGGACAAGATATGCACGCTATCTGAACCAACTTCTTTATCAATTCAGGCCCCAAGAACAAGACCTGCGCGCTATCGGAACCAACCGCTTTATCAAATCAGGCATCAAGGACAAGCCCTGCACGCTATCTGAAACAACCTCCCTACCAATTCAGGCACAAGAACAAGACTTGCACGCTATCTGAACCAACCTCTTCATCAAATCACGCAACAACGACAAGAACTGCCCGCTATCTGAACCAACCTCTTCATCAAATCACGCAACAACGACAAGAACTGCCCGCTATCTGAACCAACCTCTTCATCAAATCACGCAACAACGACAAGAACTGCCCGCTATCTGAACCAACCTCTATATCAATTCAGGCACCAAGGATAAGACCTGCACGCTATCTAAACCAACCTCTTTATCAAATCAGGCATCAAGGACAAGCCCTGCACGCTATCTGAACCAACCGCTTTATCAAATCAGGCATCAAGGACAAGATATGCACGCTATCTGAACCAACTTCTTTATCAATTCAGGCACAAGAACAAGACTTGCACGCTATCTGAACCAACTTCTTTATCAATTCAGGCTCCAAGAACAAGACCTGCACGCTATCTGAAACAACCTCGTTATCAATTCAGGCACAAGAACAAGACTTGCACGCTATCTGAACCAGCCTCTTTATCAATTCAGGCTCCAAGAACAAGACCTGCACGCTATCTGAAACAACCTCGTTATCAATTCAGGCACCTAGAACAAGCCCTGCACGCTATCTGAAACAACCTCTTAATCAATTCAGGCACAAGAACAAGACTTGCACGCTATCTGAACCAACCTCTTTATCAAATCAGGCATCAAGGATAAGACCTGCACGCTATCTAAACCAACCTCTTTATCAATTCAAGCACCAAGGACAAGACCTGCACGCTATCTGAACCAACCTCTTTATCAACCTGACAGTGCTGATAAAATGTTAAAATGGCTTGAAATAACGGTAAACGGCAGGGAAATGCAAGAAGCCTTACACCAGAGGTAAATCCTGAAGAGCCAGTTACGGAACCAGAACAGACATTGCGCATTAACACAGGTCGCGATCCACATAGAAGAACATATAGAAAGGGCTAATGGAACGGAAAAGATAAAAATAAAAAAACCACCAGTGAGTACAGAGTCGCCTGTTAAGTCTAGAGGACATGGTACCTGTAAGTGGTAGCAGCGTGTAGACGTTTTTGAGAGTAATGCGGCTATTTTACAATGACTTAAAGGATGCGAGATTGCTTGTAACATTTGATTGAATGCAAGCCGCCGAAACAGCTTCGAACCAGCTGTGCAGGAAGAGGTGTCAAAGGCGAAAATCATTCAGAGATAGACAAAAATAATCCGCACCGGACGCATATGATGGGAGCAATGCGAAACAAATTTAGTCGATGGTTAAGAAAGGGAAAAGATTGGCCAACATGATCTGAACTGAAACAAAGACCATTCTTGAAGTTTGCTAATTCCAATCACATACGCTTATCGTCATACACACATGTTCGTAACAGATCAATACAACGTTTGTAGTCTAACAAGGCTAGGCTATGTATCGAGGGAGACATAAAGGAATTAAAAAAACAGGAGATCCAAAAAGGGTTTTGGCACCTACCATCGTAAGAATTCATGCAAGATTGATTTTTTCTCTTACCTCCCGCATTGCTCCATGTAAACAGTGAATGCATCTTCTGCTAGCATAGTACTTGTTGTATAACAAGAGAAACTTACATTTGAAATATGAGAAAGACCTATCAGGTACATTTTTTTAAGAAATAGCGATAATAAACTTGAATTGTACACAGCAACAGACAAAGGGGATCTTACATGTGCAATCTGAGAAAGAGAAAAACCTCTATCTGTCGAATACTTCTTGGAAAGTATCTGTTAATAACTTGAACTGTCGAAATCAAAGAGAGTTGCCTCGTTGCCATCTTGTTTATTTCTGATCAGCCCCAAATGAGTCATGCACAACTAAGACCAGCGAAAATCAGCATGAAAGAGATCTGTGAAGTACTTCTTGAGAAATAGCGATAACAACCTTGAACTGCCAAAATTCACCTCCTTACTGTCTGGTGGCCATCTTGTTTTCCAATCAGTCTAAAAATTGAACATACACAACTACAGACCAAGGGGGAACATATTGGATATGTTTCCGATCAGTCCAAAGATTATTTGCACAACCAGTAACATTGGAAACCTACATGTGAACTTTGAGAGAGATTTCTCCAGGTCTTTCCGAGACAAAGCGCTAACAAACTTTAAACTTTCACTATTTAAACTGGCCGTTTGTCTGCCTTTTTGGTTTTCTACTCAGTCCTAAAATTCAATATGCCCAATAAGGGAATATGGAGACCCTAAATGTGAAATTTGAGAAATATTCCTGCATCTGAGAACAAGAGGCCCAGAGGGCCTGTATCGCTCACCTGAATATGTTTAAAATAATTGGTATGAAGTAGGTAATGTAAGTACATATGAAATTTCAGAAAGATCCATCCAGTACTTGAGATATAGCTAGAACTTCAAACAGAGCCCCACCCCTATATGCAACCTAGGGGGTCATACACACCAATTATACAAAATTGAGTCCCTTTGACCCAAGGATGCTCCAGACTAAATAAGGATAAAATCCCATAATCCCGATGGTCGAAGATGGATTTTAAAGGTTTTACCTCTATTTCCCTTATTGGGCCCCGCCTCTCTGCCTCCAGAGGGGTCAGACACACCGCTTATACAAAATTGAGTCCCTTTTGACTAAGGATGCTCCAGACTAAATTAGGATAATACCCTTAATCCATATGGTAGAAGAAGGATTATAAAGGTTTTACTTATATTTCTCGTATTGGGCCCCGCCCCTCAGGTCCAAGGGGGGCCACACCCACAGTTTATACAAAATTGGTTCCACTTCACCCAAGGATGCTTCAGACCAAATATGAAACAAATCCTTTCATTCCTACAGAAGTAGAAGGATTTTAAAGAATTTGCTATGTTTCCCCTATTGGGCCCCACCCCTCAGGCCCCTGGGGGCCACACCCACGATTTATACAAAATTGGTTCCCCTTCACCCAAGGATGCTTCAGACCAAATATGGAACAAATCCTTTCATTCCTACAGAAGAAGAAGGATTTTAAAGAATTTGCTATATTTCCCCTATTGGGTCCCGCCCCTCAGCCCCCAGGGGGGCCAGACCCACCATTTATACAAAATCCCCTTCCCCTAAGGATACTTTTGACCTAATTTGGTCAAATTCTGCTCAGTTGCCGATGACTAGTAGCGTTTTAAAGGAAAAGTTGACAGACGGACGGACGGACGGACGGACGGACGAACAACGGACGCTGCGGTATGGCATAAGCTCACCATGGTCCTTCGGACCAGGTGAGCTAAAAATGTTAAAACATTTTTTCAAGGACGAACCGACGGATAGATGATGGATGACAGACCAGGGGCGAAGGATGAATTGAACAGCCCACCATCTGATGATGGTTGACAGACCTGGGGCGAAGGATCAAGTGAACAGTCCACCATCTGATGATGGTTGACAGGTCAGGGGCGAAGGATGAATTGAACAGCCGACCATCTGATGATGGTTGACAGATCAGGGGCGAAGGATAAATTGAACAGCCCACCATCTTATGATGGTTGACAGATCAGGGACGAAGGATGAATTGAACAGCCCACTATCTGATGATGCATGACAGATCAGGGGCGAAGGATGAATTGAACAGCCCACCATCTAATGATGTATGACAGGTCAGGGATGAAGGATGAAGTGAATAGCCCACCATCTGATGATGGTTGACAGATCAGGGACGAAGGATGAAGTGAATAGCCCACCATCTGATGATGGTTGACAGATCAGGGACGAAGGATGAAGTGAACAGCCCACCATCTGATGATGGTTGACAGATCAGGGACGAAGGATGAAGTGAACAGCCCACCATCTGATGATGGTTGACAGATCAGGGACGAAGGATGAAGTGAACAGCCCACCATCTGATGATGGTTGACAGATCAGGGACGAAGGATGAATTGAACAGCCCACCATCTGATGATGGTTGACAGATCAGGGACGAAGGATGAAGTGAACAGCCCACCATCTGATGATGGTTGACAGATCAGGGGCGAAGGATGAATTGAACAGCCCACCATCTGATGATGGTTG